TTAAACAGTTTACTGATTTTAACCGTATATGATAAGCTTACTTGGTTAACCAGTTAACAGCTTTTTAACAAGTTTTGATCATTTTATCAGCTAATGTACTTTTACTGTAAATTATATGGTAATTCACTTGGAAAGCCATAAATTTGACAGTATTTAATAAGTAAAATGACATATAATGTGATGTTAAACATTTACAGTTTTTCGCCATGTATGGTAAGGTTACAACCATTTTTACAGTTTGGGAACCAGGAACTGCACCTGATACCAAAACTATTTCACAATAATCTGACTACTGTAGTCAGGTTATTGTGAAATACTTTTGGTGTCAGGTGAAACAGGTGAGACTTTGTGCAGTAGGAATGTCACATTGTCAAATAATGGTAATGAATGATATTAAAAATGTTTAAATGACATATTAATGGAAAAGTGAGAGACAATAGGATTGCCCAGGCCTCGTGGAAACATGCTGAAGGGAGAGATGATGATGTTGGACTGCGGCCCATAGCTGAATGATGGCATGATTTTCCAGTTCCTCATTAGGATTAGTCAGCAATGAAGAGTGAGAGACAGACAAACAGAGAGAAAGAGAGGAATGAAGGGAGGGGCTGAAGGTTAGGAATGTAAAGAGAGAGAGGAAGAGGCGGTGCTCAACACTATCAGCTCTGCTATAAGCAGCAGCAGATAAACCTGCGTGTAAAGCCGTGACCTCACAGCACTGCTGATTGCACGCTAGAAACTTCTGCTGGCACATGAGGTGGAGTAATCGCATGTAATTTGCACGGGCTTCATTACAGAGTTTCTCGTTCTACTGAAACTGAATTATGCATCTTAAGACTACAAAGTGCAACAGCTACTGCCTGGTGGCCACACCGGTGGACCATGAGACATTCAGTCGTCCACAGATTCGGGTAAGACCATTCGTTAATGACGAGGTCAAGTCAAGGTTTATTGTCATTCGGATGCATTTCTCTTTCAGGTTCTGGTGCTAATTTACATTAAACTAACTAAGCATTGCACTGTTTTTTTTCTTTTTGCTTTTACATTTGGTCTTCCACAAGCTTAAAGATTTGGTTTCGTTCATACTTAGGACTCTAATGCCTAAACTACAATCTGGCCATGTTGGTCTGCTGATCTTCAGTTCTTACTTTTCCAGCTCTCCTGTTTTTAATGGCCTGTTTGCTATAGAGACTACCTGCAACAAGAAGATTAGAGGCCTGAAGCTTGAAACAGAATGCTTTGATTACATGTTTTAATCAGTTAATTTGTGTTACTGAGTTTAGGGTTAGTATAATTTTTTTGTTTTTTTTCTTTTTGCTTTTACATTTGGTCTTCCACAAGCTTAAAGATTTGGTTTCGTTCATACTTAGGACTCTAATGCCTAAACTACAATCTGGCCATGTTGGTCTGCTGATCTTCAGTTCTTACTTTTCCAGCTCTCCTGTTTTTAATGGCCTGTTTGCTATAGAGACTACCTGCAACAAGAAGATTAGAAGCCTGAAGCTTGAAACAGAATGCTTTGATTACATGTTTTAATCAGTTAATTTGTGTTACTGAGTTTAGGGTTAGTATAATTTTTTAAATTATTATTAAAGAAACTAATACTTTAATTCAGCAAGGATCCATTAAAATGATCAAAATATGTCTTTCTATTTCAAATAAATGCTGCTCTTTTGACATTTCTATTCATCATAGAATCCTGAAAAATAAACTGATTCACAGTTTCCACAAAAATATGAAGCAACACAACTGTTTTCGGTATTTATAATAATCAGAAATGTTTCTTGAGCAGCAAATCAGCATATTAGAATGATTTCTGAATGGTCATTTGACTCAGAAGACTGGAGTAATGATGCTGAAAATTCAGCTTTGAGAATTTTAAATCCAGCATTTTAAATTGTAAAAAATATTTCACAGTATTACTGCTTTTATTGTATTTTTGATCAAAAATCATGAAAAAATGTAATATAGCATGTATACTATATACAGTATAATATATATAGTAGTAGTTCTGATAACCACCATAAAAATATTACAGGTGGTACAATAGAAAGGCATATGATGAATCAGAGTACACCGCTAGGACGTTGCTAGGGTGTTCTGGATGGTTGGTGTGTGTTAGAGTATTTTGGGTGGCATACACACAAAGACAAAACACCATTAGTATAACACACGACACCATGTAATGTAGCAATTGCAAAAATCCCAGGGATTTCTAGGAATGTAATTTTACTTTGTTTCACTGTAAATTATATGGTAGTTCACTTGGGGCAAAAATTACAGTATTTTACAGTAAAATTACATATAATACAATGCTAAACCATTTATAGGTTTTTTATGGTTGGGTTACTTACAATTAACCAATTGACAGGTTTTTACCATTTTCTGGAATCTTTTTTACTGCTTTTCACTGTAAATTATATAGTAATTCACTTGTAAAAAAAAACATACATTTGACAGTATTTTACTGTAAAATTACATATAATGTCATGTTAAACAGTTTACTGATTTTAACCGTATATGATAAGCTTACTTGGTTAACCAGTTAACAGCTTTTTAACAAGTTTTGATCATTTTATCAGCTAATGTACTTTTACTGTAAATTATATGGTAATTCACTTGGAAAGCCATAAATTTGACAGTATTTAATAAGTAAAATGACATATAATGTGATGTTAAACATTTACAGTTTTTCGCCATGTATGGTAAGGTTACAACCATTTTTACAGTTTGGGAACCAGGAACTGCACCTGATACCAAAACTATTTCACAATAATCTGACTACTGTAGTCAGGTTATTGTGAAATACTTTTGGTGTCAGGTGAAACAGGTGAGACTTTGTGCAGTAGGAATGTCACATTGTCAAATAATGGTAATGAATGATATTAAAAATGTTTAAATGACATATTAATGGAAAAGTGAGAGACAATAGGATTGCCCAGGCCTCGTGGAAACATGCTGAAGGGAGAGATGATGATGTTGGACTGCGGCCCATAGCTGAATGATGGCATGATTTTCCAGTTCCTCATTAGGATTAGTCAGCAATGAAGAGTGAGAGACAGACAAACAGAGAGAAAGAGAGGAATGAAGGGAGGGGCTGAAGGTTAGGAATGTAAAGAGAGAGAGGAAGAGGCGGTGCTCAACACTATCAGCTCTGCTATAAGCAGCAGCAGATAAACCTGCGTGTAAAGCCGTGACCTCACAGCACTGCTGATTGCACGCTAGAAACTTCTGCTGGCACATGAGGTGGAGTAATCGCATGTAATTTGCACGGGCTTCATTACAGAGTTTCTCGTTCTACTGAAACTGAATTATGCATCTTAAGACTACAAAGTGCAACAGCTACTGCCTGGTGGCCACACCGGTGGACCATGAGACATTCAGTCGTCCACAGATTCGGGTAAGACCATTCGTTAATGACGAGGTCAAGTCAAGGTTTATTGTCATTCGGATGCATTTCTCTTTCAGGTTCTGGTGCTAATTTACATTAAACTAACTAAGCATTGCACTGTTTTTTTTCTTTTTGCTTTTACATTTGGTCTTCCACAAGCTTAAAGATTTGGTTTCGTTCATACTTAGGACTCTAATGCCTAAACTACAATCTGGCCATGTTGGTCTGCTGATCTTCAGTTCTTACTTTTCCAGCTCTCCTGTTTTTAATGGCCTGTTTGCTATAGAGACTACCTGCAACAAGAAGATTAGAAGCCTGAAGCTTGAAACAGAATGCTTTGATTACATGTTTTAATCAGTTAATTTGTGTTACTGAGTTTAGGGTTAGTATAATTTTTTTAATTATTATTAAAGAAACTAATACTTTAATTCAGCAAGGATCCATTAAAATGATCAAAATATGTCTTTCTATTTCAAATAAATGCTGCTCTTTTGACATTTCTATTCATCATAGAATCCTGAAAAATAAACTGATTCACAGTTTCCACAAAAATATGAAGCAACACAACTGTTTTCGGTATTTATAATAATCAGAAATGTTTCTTGAGCAGCAAATCAGCATATTAGAATGATTTCTGAATGGTCATTTGACTCAGAAGACTGGAGTAATGATGCTGAAAATTCAGCTTTGAGAATTTTAAATCCAGCATTTTAAATTGTAAAAAATATTTCACAGTATTACTGCTTTTATTGTATTTTTGATCAAATAAATGCAGCTTTGGTGAGCAGAAGAGACATCAAAAATATTTTGATGACCCCAAACTTTTGAATAGTAGAGTATGTTGGACCTCATTCATGAAATTCAAGCGGAATGAATTTGTCTAAATGAAAACTCTTCACATTAAATAACATCCCACATGCTGCTGTAGCTAGCAAGAAATCCAATATTTTGTGAGATGACAGAAATGTTGCTGTCTTAATAAATATTGAATTTCTTGCTTGCAACAGCAGTGCCCTGTTGAAGATATCAACTTAAACCAGCCTAAGGTGGTTTGCTGGTTTTACCTGGCCAGGCTTTTTTCCCATAGGATTTTTTCTTTGTTTGGTCATAAAATCATTATGTAAATGAACATGTTCAGTTCAATCTACACAAGTCTTACTTTTACTCATTTTTCATGATTGAGGCCTGTAGGTTGTTTTCTTTCATACATGATGTTCAAAACCCTCTTGTAAATAGTTTTTCATGGAGGAAATTGCGTTGTTTTCTGTATTTCTCTATCAAATGCAAGTGTGATTGTCTAGTTTCATCTCCGTCCCATTATTTGAAATGTTTTTCCTCTTTTTGCATTATCAGGAGCAGTTTGAGGCTTTGTTCCGTGCGTTTGATCCAGGCACATCCTTCCAGTTCTTTAAAAGCTTCAGACGGGTTCGGATCAACTTCACCTGATACCAAAACTATTTCACAATAATCTGACTACTGTAGTCAGGTTATTGTGAAATACTTTTGGTGTCAGGTGAAACAGGTGAGACTTTGTGCAGTAGGAATGTCACATTGTCAAATAATGGTAATGAATGATATTAAAAATGTTTAAATGACATATTAATGGAAAAGTGAGAGACAATAGGATTGCCCAGGCCTCGTGGAAACATGCTGAAGGGAGAGATGATGATGTTGGACTGCGGCCCATAGCTGAATGATGGCATGATTTTCCAGTTCCTCATTAGGATTAGTCAGCAATGAAGAGTGAGAGACAGACAAACAGAGAGAAAGAGAGGAATGAAGGGAGGGGCTGAAGGTTAGGAATGTAAAGAGAGAGAGGAAGAGGCGGTGCTCAACACTATCAGCTCTGCTATAAGCAGCAGCAGATAAACCTGCGTGTAAAGCCGTGACCTCACAGCACTGCTGATTGCACGCTAGAAACTTCTGCTGGCACATGAGGTGGAGTAATCGCATGTAATTTGCACGGGCTTCATTACAGAGTTTCTCGTTCTACTGAAACTGAATTATGCATCTTAAGACTACAAAGTGCAACAGCTACTGCCTGGTGGCCACACCGGTGGACCATGAGACATTCAGTCGTCCACAGATTCGGGTAAGACCATTCGTTAATGACGAGGTCAAGTCAAGGTTTATTGTCATTCGGATGCATTTCTCTTTCAGGTTCTGGTGCTAATTTACATTAAACTAACTAAGCATTGCACTGTTTTTTTTCTTTTTGCTTTTACATTTGGTCTTCCACAAGCTTAAAGATTTGGTTTCGTTCATACTTAGGACTCTAATGCCTAAACTACAATCTGGCCATGTTGGTCTGCTGATCTTCAGTTCTTACTTTTCCAGCTCTCCTGTTTTTAATGGCCTGTTTGCTATAGAGACTACCTGCAACAAGAAGATTAGAGGCCTGAAGCTTGAAACAGAATGCTTTGATTACATGTTTTAATCAGTTAATTTGTGTTACTGAGTTTAGGGTTAGTATAATTTTTTTAATTATTATTAAAGAAACTAATACTTTAATTCAGCAAGGATCCATTAAAATGATCAAAATATGTCTTTCTATTTCAAATAAATGCTGCTCTTTTGACATTTCTATTCATCATAGAATCCTGAAAAATAAACTGATTCACAGTTTCCACAAAAATATGAAGCAACACAACTGTTTTCGGTATTTATAATAATCAGAAATGTTTCTTGAGCAGCAAATCAGCATATTAGAATGATTTCTGAATGGTCATTTGACTCAGAAGACTGGAGTAATGATGCTGAAAATTCAGCTTTGAGAATTTTAAATCCAGCATTTTAAATTGTAAAAAATATTTCACAGTATTACTGCTTTTATTGTATTTTTGATCAAATAAATGCAGCTTTGGTGAGCAGAAGAGACATCAAAAATATTTTGATGACCCCAAACTTTTGAATAGTAGAGTATGTTGGACCTCATTCATGAAATTCAAGCGGAATGAATTTGTCTAAATGAAAACTCTTCACATTAAATAACATCCCACATGCTGCTGTAGCTAGCAAGAAATCCAATATTTTGTGAGATGACAGAAATGTTGCTGTCTTAATAAATATTGAATTTCTTGCTTGCAACAGCAGTGCCCTGTTGAAGATATCAACTTAAACCAGCCTAAGGTGGTTTGCTGGTTTTACCTGGCCAGGCTTTTTTTCCCATAGGATTTTTTCTTTGTTTGGTCATAAAATCATTATGTAAATGAACATGTTCAGTTCAATCTACACAAGTCTTACTTTTACTCATTTTTCATGATTGAGGCCTGTAGGTTGTTTTCTTTCATACATGATGTTCAAAACCCTCTTGTAAATAGTTTTTCATGGAGGAAATTGCGTTGTTTTCTGTATTTCTCTATCAAATGCAAGTGTGATTGTCTAGTTTCATCTCCGTCCCATTATTTGAAATGTTTTTCCTCTTTTTGCATTATCAGGAGCAGTTTGAGGCTTTGTTCCGTGCGTTTGATCCAGGCACGTCCTTCCAGTTCTTTAAAAGCTTCAGACGGGTTCGGATCAACTTCACCGATGTGTTGGCAGCAGCCGAGGCCAGAGTCAAACTCCATAAGAGTGAGTTCAATGGAAAGGAGATGCGTCTGTATTTTGCTCAGGTAAATAACCCTAACAAAGAAGTATTACGTGGTACTCCAAGTTGCTCTAAAACTAGCATGATACTTTTTGTTTAGTAATGAAAACAGTGTATTCATTATATAGTCTTACGAACAAAGATTCATGGTCTTGAATCTTAAAGGAATAGTTCACCCAAAAAAGAAAATTAGTTAAAAATGTACTCACCCTCAGGCCATCCAAGATGTAGATGAGTTTGTTTCTTCATCAAATTTGTAGACATGTAGCATTACATCATTTGCTCATCAGTGGATCATCTGCAGTGAATGGGTGCCGTCAGAATGAGAGTACATACAGCTGATAAAAACATCACAATAATCCACACGACTCCATCAATTAACATCGTGTGAGGCCAAAAAAGCTGCATGTTTGTAAGAAACAAATCCATAATTATAATGTTTTAACTTTAAAACTTTGTCCATAATTCGAGTCCCTAATCCATAATAATGCTTCCTCTAGTGAGAAAGTTGTCTCGTCTGAATCCGGAGAGAAATATGCACAGATCAAGCACCATTTACAAGCCAAAATAGTCCAGAAAAGCTCTAAACAAATATGTGGGTGGATTTTGATGTGAGAGGACAACAGGGGATGGACTTCTTCACTAGAGGAAACGTTATTATAGATTATGAACTCATACTTTAGCCAGAAGTGACAGATAATGATGGATTTGTTTCCTACAAACATGCAGCTTTTCACTTCACAAGATGTTAATTGATGAACTGGAGTCGTGTGTAGTGGTCGACCGATATATCGCCATGGCCGATTTTTCAAATATCGGCATTGGCCGATAAGTTTTTCTGTTTGGTCGATGCGTTCGAGGCGCGACAGACTTTTATTTTGATGGCGCCGAGAACGGCAGTGCCTGAGCATACAGTGCTCACATTAATTTCTCCCTCTTGTCTGCTGTTGTCGTTAACAGTTCTGTCTAATACGGATAGAAGTCTGTCTAATAATCTGATAGAACTGTTAAACAAAGGAATTAAAATGTATACAAAGTATTACATTATTAGTAATAGAACAGGCAAACATTATAATACTTTCTCGCTTGCTGTCAGCATTCAGCAAATACGCATTTATATAATTTAAACAAATCTTTGAATGAATAATGAACATTTAATTTCACAAACCTTGCAAACTTAGTCGAATCCAGCTGTGAGATCGTGTGAAGTGTGCATTTGTATCTTGCATGATCACGTGTTCTCTGCGTGACGGTCGGTCCGTGTGAATTGAATGCTGACAGGAGGAGAGTTCAGCTTAACTGAAGACGTGCGATCGTTAACTCGTGATTTCAAATTATGCTGTGCTTTATGCATTTGCCCACTGTCATATTCATGTAATTTTCACTGTGTGCTGCATGTGAAATGAGTGTTACCTTGGCTTTATTTGAAAAAAATATGATTCCCAATGCACACAAACTTCCCAGAATACTGAGTGCCCTGTTGGTTACAGTGTTTACTTCCTTTTTAATTATATTTGTATTAAATATTTATTTATTTGTGAAAAATACTTTGTCATCTAAAGTATAAGTATGTTTATTTTACACTTTTTTTATCCATTTTCAAATGATTTCAAATTTCTTGAATATTAATTAAAATAAAATTATATCGGCTTTATATACATGTGTGTGTGTGTGTATATATATATATATATATATACACATATACACATATCGGTCGACCACTAGTCGTGTAGATTATTGTGATGATGTTATCAGTTGTTTGGACTCTCATTCTGATGGCACCCATTCACTGCAGAGGATCCATTGGTGAGCAAGTGCTATGCTACATTTATCCGAATCTGTTCAGATGAAGAAACAAACTCATCTACATCTTGGATGGTCTAAGGTTGAGTACATTTAAATTTTTTTGGTTTGATTATAGGGGTGCAACGGATCGTAGTTGATCCGTGATCTGTACGGATCAGGCTGCACGGTTCGGCACGCATATGATTCGCAGATTAAGTTAACCATCATAGAGTTAAAGTTTATCATTTGCACATGTTTTGTCTTGCCAGTTTACACATTCAAGCAGTTTTAACTCACGCGCTTGTTTTCTGTGCGCTCAGCCGCTGCCACACACACCCGAAGCGTGCACATGCAGAGAGACACCTCGTGAACAGGGAATTGATTCCTCTTTCACATACACACAAAGTTATGTTAAAATAACCGTTTTTAGCAAGTATTGTAGTAAACACAGTCGGTTATGTCTTAAGTGAACATAAACGGCTGAGAAGAAAAACGGATGTGTGTCAGTATTAGGTCCATGCATTTGGTCTTAAAGAGACAGCACCCAATAAATACCTGTTTCTCTCTGCTAATCATATAACACCACAGCTCTAACAAAAATGTTGTTTTCTGTGCGCTCAGCCGCTGCCACACACACCCGAAGCGTGCACATGCAGAGAGACACCTCGTGAACAGGGAATTGATTCCTCTTTCACATACACACAAAGTTATGTTAAAATAACCGTTTTTAGCAAGTATTGTAGTAAACACAGTCGGTTATGTCTTAAGTGAACGTAAACGGCTGAGAAGAAAAACGGATGTGTGTCAGTATTAGGTCCATGCATTTGGTCTTAAAGAGACAGCACCCAATAAATACCTGTTTCTCTCTGCTAATCATATAACACCACAGCTCTAACAAAAATTAATCTGTATTTAACTAGTGCAGTGAGCACTATTGTGTTATTTTACACTTAATTATTATATTTCTGCACATGTGTGTGCTATTGTTACTGACTTTGTGTAACTGTGTTTTGTTGTATTCATCTATACTTGTAATTGGTGTAATTGTTCTTGTTTAACTTTATTAGTTAAGCTAGTAGTTTTTGCTGTGGAATAGAAGTACTTAACTCTTTCCCCGCCAGCATTTTTGAAAAAAGTTGCCAGCCACCGCCAGCGATTTTGATGATTTTCACAAAAATTTGATGGCCTCCAGTATATTTTGCTGTATGAATATTTGAATATGCAATACACCAAAATAAAGATCAGATCCTCTACTTTTAAACAAAAAAAAAATTATAATAATTTTGAGCAAAAAGTTGAGAAAATCAAAAACTACATCTGGATAATATTCACGTAGTACGATTATCAAAGCATAAATCCAGTAAATCACTTCCATTAACACCTCCAAAGCTTGCACAGACATACCACTTCCTGGATCAACATTTTACTCCGTAACATTATGCAGTTTTCATTTATATGCTGTCTATTGCTGATGATCACATTATTTTTCAAATGCATCTGTTTGCATAAGAGATCGCTAGTTTCTCCGTCCTGTTCACGTGTGTTTTTGTTCGGGAGGTTTTGTACTCGTTCAGAAGATGCATAATAGTGCCTCCGAGTGTATAACAGTGAAAACACGGAAAGCCGTAAAAACTCGTCTTTGGCGGGGAAGTATTTTCTTGTAAAAGACGAGATAACTCGTCAATGGAAGGGGAAAGAGTTAAAGTAAGCTTACACGAATTTTTGTTTTTTTGTTTTTTTTTTGGCTGATCTGAAAAATTATCCAATCCTTGACTCAAAATCCGTAATATGATCCGAACCGTGAGTTTTGTGATCCGTTGCACCACTATTTGAAAATCCAGTAAATCACTTCCATTAACACCTCCAAAGCTTGCACAGACATACCACTTCCTGGATCAACATTTTACTCCGTAACATTATGCAGTTTTCATTTATATGCTGTCTATTGCTGATGATCACATTATTTTTCAAATGCATCTGTTTGCATAAGAGATCGCTAGTTTCTCCGTCCTGTTCACGTGTGTTTTTGTTCGGGAGGTTTTGTACTCGTTCAGAAGATGCATAATAGTGCCTCCGAGTGTATAACAGTGAAAACACGGAAAGCCGTAAAAACTCGTCTTTGGCGGGGAAGCATTTTCTTGTAAAAGACGAGATAACTCGTCAATGGAAGGGGAAAGAGTTAAAGTAAGCTTACACAAATTTTTGTTTTTTTGTTTTTTTTTGGCTGATCTGAAAAATTATCCAATCCTTGACTCAAAATCCGTAATATGATCCGAACCGTGAGTTTTGTGATCCGTTGCACCACTATTTGATTCTCATGAATGCATGAACTATAAACATTTATACAACAGTTCTTTCTGGTTATCGAATCTGATTGAGATGAGTGCGATATTCAAGTGATATCAGAACACCAACCGTTTAACCATTTGTATCACTCCGCTTGCGGTATTTCTCACAGCGAGTGTCATGGAGGACGCCCAAATCCACTATAATTTAATAAATAATACTGTTTTTGTGTCACAGAATGTAATTTTAAGATTTACACCAATAATGTACATGTTTAGACTTCAAATATGCAGTTTGTTAATAAAGATAATGTCTATTTGAAAATCTGCTTCAACATTTTCGGGGATGTGAGCTCCAGGGCATCAGCGGCCATTCAACACTCATGAACCAACAGAGAGCAGCCTCACCTCGGCCAGTTCTTCTAGAATTTGATGTCTCTATAGTGGTTAAACATGAGTTTTGGCTAGGGTGCCTGGGGGGTGGGGTTGAGGGGATGCCGTGGCATGGCGTAAATAATTGACTTGTTCACAACCATACAACTATGTTATTGAACTTGAATACATACATTTGCAAAATTGCACACAATGAATGGTGACTGTAGAAAGCAAAAGGCGAATCCCGGACATTTTGAGCGATTTAGAAATCCCGGCCGGACACTATTTTTTTTTGGTCCAAAAAGAGGACATGTTGGGGAAAAAGAGGACATATGGTCAGCCTAAGTTTTGACTGGGGGCAAAATCTCATCACGTTATTTGCCATGTAATTTTAAAGGGATAGTTCACCCAAAAATGAAAATTACCCCATGATTTACTCACCCTCAAGGCATCCTAGGTGTATATGACTTCCTTCTTTCAGACAAATCCAATTGGAGTTATATTTAAAAATGTCCTGGCTCTTCCAAGTTTATAATGGCAGTGAATGGGTGCTAGAGATTACGGTTTATAAAGTTTTAAATATGGATATTTTTCTTACAAAAACACATTGATTTGCTTCAGGAGGCCTTTATTCACCCCGTGAGTCCATGTGGGACACTTTTTATGATGTATGGATAGGCTTTATTGGACGACATTTGGACTATTGAAACATAGCACCCATTCACTGCCATTATAAAGTTTGGAAGAGCCAGAACATTTTAATATAACTAATTGGATTTGTCTGAAAGAAGAAAGTAATATACACCTAAGATGCCTTAAGAGTGAGTAAATAATGGGGTTATTTTCATTTTTGGGTGAACTATCCCTTTAATGCTGTATATCAGAGCGCTGCCTTTGTACTAGTTTTGACTGAATTGCCTAGCTTGCTAACTTTTATGAAGGCTGTTGTTGTTTATTAAATATTATTCAGTTACATCATTCCGCCATTAGATGGCGAGTGAGTCAACAGTAAATCATTTTATATTGAAAGAGACTGAAACAGGGTTGTAAACAAGAAAGTTATTTTTACTTTCTACAACAGCTTGTAAGACGCAGCCGACATATGCAGTGAGCAACGCTGTCATCGGAAATCAACCAGATGAAAGGATAGTACGACAAAGATATCGCTTTCCTCAGCGGACATTCAAACTAATGTTTTATGCTGAATATGAGATTGAGCTGAAGAATGAATGCTGTATCAGATGCAGGTAATCACACTCGCTCAGTCCATCTCTCATAATACTCGACTCAACATAATACGCTGCTTTTAATACAGTAATTCAAGCTTTCAATGAAGCAACTCAATGTTCCTTTGTTACTAGTTCTGAAGTGACGTTTTCTAATTAGTAACGGATCTTGAACTCAGCTGTTGAACTGTCAAACTGAGATTTGAATCTGTGGCGGAAGGAAGTAGTTCTGCACAAAAGAGAGGTTTTAAAGACATTTCGTTGTTGTTCCTTTTCTATTTACATTCTCGTGTGGTCGAACTGTTGTATAAACGCAATATCACACATTCGTAGCCATGCAATATGGCTGTATATCGGCACACTGTGATTACCTACAACCATGCTGATATACAGCCATATCGCACGACTACTTGTGTGATATTGCTCATGTATTTCTTGAATGCAATGTGAGTCACTTTGAATAAAACTATCTGAAATATAAATGCAAATGTTTTGTCTCTTTTTTTTGTTTCCTCCATTTATTTCTCTTCTACCGTACAGTCTGTACATATCGGCAGTCCTCGCCTTGAGCCTCCTAAACCAGAGAAGCAGTTCCTCATCTCTCCTCCGGCGTCACCCCCTGTAGGCTGGGCACAGTCGCAGGACGCTATGCCAGTCGTCAACTATGACCTGCTGTGTGCCGTGTCTAAACTAGGACCAGGTATAACCTATTTACCTCATTTCCATGGTATACTTTGAGACTGAAAGCCTTTTCGAGTCCTGAACTATATATATCAACAACATATGCAGTCAGTAAGGGTCAGTAAATATTTTTTTTTATAATACTTTTATGCAGCGATGATACATTAAATTAATCAAAAGTGTCAGTAAATCCATTTACACTGTTGACCAGTGTAAGTTTGGAATAATTAACCAAGGCTGCGTTTATTTGATAAAAAATACGGTAAAAAGTGAAATATTATTACAATTTAAAATAACTGTTTTCTCTGTGAATATATTGTAAAATGTCAGCATTGTCATCATCATTGCTCCAGTCTTCAGCGTCACATGATTCTTCAGAAATCTTTGTAATATGCTGAATTGCTGCTCAAGAAGCATTTCTGATTATTATCAATGTTGAAAACAGTTGTGCTGCTTTGTATTTTTGTGGAAAGCATTTTATTTTTCAGGATTGGTTGATGAATAGAAGGTTCAGAAGAACATTTATTTGAAATAGAAATCATTTGTAACATTACAAATGTTTTGACTTTCAGTTTTGATCAATTTAATGCGTCCTAGCTGAACAAAAGTAATTTATTTTTTCAATGTTAGTGCGTTACATTTTCCACAAAAATATGAAGCAGCACAACTGATTCCAACATTGATAATAATCAGAAATGTTTCTTGAGCAGCAAATCAGCAGATTAGAGTGATATCTGAAGGATCATGTGACACTGAAGACTGGATTAATGATGCTGAAAATTCAGCTTTGCATCACAGAAATAAATAACATTTTACAATATATTCAAATAGAAAACAGCTATTTTAAATTGAAATATTTTCACAATATTACTGTTTTACTGTATTTTTGATCAAATAAATGCAGCTTTGGTGATCAGAAACTTAAACTTAAAGAAAAAAACA